TCTCCTTGTAAAGGTCTTTGACCTCCTCTGTTAAGTATTTTCCTAGGTATTTATTTTTATAGCTATTGTGAATGGTATTGATTTAACTCTCCACTTAACTGTTTATTATTAATATATAGAAGTGTTACTGATTCGTCCACATTGATTTTATAACTTGAGACTTCGCTGAATTTATTTATCAATTCCAGGAGGCTTTTGGTGGAGTCATTAGAGTTTTACAGATACAAGAGAATATGTATCATTAGCAAACAGGGATGGTTTGACCTCCTCTTTCCTGATTTGGATGCTCATTTCCTTCTCTTGCCTGATTGCTTTGGCTAGGACTTCCAGAAATAAAAACAAAGACCAGCTTTATCTCTTGAACCTGGGCACGGAGCTGGGGTTCTCTCCACTGTTTCATCTGTAGGAGGCCCAGGTGTTTCTGCCACAATCTCCGACACCCTGTGACCTGCAGGTACTGGGAGGTCCTTAGGGAGGATATCAGGACACCCTATAAGCTGGGAAATGGTGAATGTGTAGGGCTGAGTATTCCTAGATGAAGGAGGAGGCTGGTTGGAACTGTCCCAAAGTAGCCATGGTGATACTTAGGCCTCCCCTTGTCAGTTTCCCTATGTCAGCTCCAGAGTCTTTAGACCTGAATACCTACTGGTAAGTCCCCGCTGGTACAGTTGGGCCCTCAGTCCCCTCTAGCTGCAGGGTGGCTTTGGGACTGTAGCCAGGACTTGGGGTGTCCCGTCCCATCCCTGTGTGGCTAGTTTGGCCCTGGTCTAGAGTCCTCTCTATGTAGTTCTAGGCCCCAAACCCCACCACCCCCAGATTGTGTGGTGATGACAGGAGAGTCCTCAGGGGAGAATGCCCACTTGGTATGTGGGTTTCATGTGTGGGAGTAGCTTTGGCCTGTGGAGTCCCTTCTTCCTGCTGTTAAAAATTAAACTGAGGCAATTTTTTAATATTGCCGGACGTGGTGGTTCACACCTATAATCCCAGCACTTGGGAGGCCAAGGCAGGCAGATTGCCTGAGCTCACAGGTTCCAGACCAGCTTGAGCCAGAATGAGACCCCACCTCTAAAAATAGCTGGATGTTGTGGCGGGTGCCTGTAGTCTCAGGTACTTGGGAGGCTAAGGCAAGAGAATTGCTCAAGCCCAGGAGTTTGAGGTTGCTGTGAGCTATGACACCATGGCACTCTACCAACAGTAACAAAGTGAGACTGTCTCAAAAAAAAAAAAAAAAAAAGAGTTTTTCAGATAAATGATAGGTAATGTAAGAGAGACTTATGTGTTGGGAGGATGAAGTCTGGAGCTGAGCAGAGATCTTTCACAGCTTTCAGAGATCTACTTATGGATTTGGGAATTCCATTGACCACCTAAATCTGTGTTCTGTCATCCTCACCACTATTCTTATCATCTCCGCTCACCCAAGCTCATTCATATAATACTGGCAAAAGAAGAAGCAGAGCCTCTAAAATCAGGCTGCCCAGGTTTGAAGTCTGGCTCTGCTACATTATGACCAAGGTGTTTATACAAGGAATGCAAAAATGGATTAACATTTGAAAACAAGTCAGTACAATTCATCCAATTGAGAGAATACAGGAGAAAACTGACTTGATCATCTCAATAGATGTGAGAAAATAAATTTAACAAAATTTCAAAAAAGGATATTAGAAAATTTGTTATATTGCTGGAAAACCTACAGATAACGTAATTTTCAACTATAAAATACTAAATGTTTTGCCATAAGGTCAAGAACAAAGCAAGGATGTCTGTGCTTGCCACTTTAATGCAGTGTTGGACTAGAGGTTCTAGTCAGTGTAATAAGGCACTAAAAAGAAATAAAAGACATAGAACTTAAAGACGAAGAAGTAAAATTATCTTTATTATCAGAAGGCATGATTATACCCAGAGGAATTTCTAAGGAATCTCCCCCAAAATTCCATACCAGAACTAAGTGAATGAATTTAGTAGGATCATAGGAGTTAAGGTCAAAATACAAATGTCATTGCCAGTATATAGAAATACAGTTGTATAATTAGAAAATATAATAAAATAGTATCAATTACAATAGCATAAAAATTCATAAACTATTTGAAAGTAAACCAATATGCAAGATCTCTGCCTTGAAAACTACCAAACGTAGCTGAGCGAAATTAAACAACACCTAAATAACTTGAGAGATGTACCATGTTCATGAGTGGAGAGATTCAATGTTGTTGATATGTCAGTCTTTCCCAAATTCAGGAGTCAATTCAATCAAAACCCAGTTTTTTTTACTCAAAATCTCAGAATGAGCGACTTTGAATGTTGGATCTAGAAGACAGATCTCCTGAGTTCCAGTCTGGAGCTAGAAAATATTATCATCTCCTGACTGCATTCTAACGGAAATTTCTGTTAAAAACAACCAATTCTCTCACATGCTCAGCTTAGCCAGTGGCTGTTTCATTGGTCAACTGGGTGATAAAGCTTCGCCTTCTTATTTTCCTGCTGGTTTGAGTTTACACTTACAGAGAAGAAAGCCAAGCCAAGGAGACCACAAAGGATATTTTAAGTGAGTTGAAAGGGAGTTGCTTTCAATCAAGTATTTAGTGTAGCACCTTCTAGACAGAGTCTTTAGATGGCTAACTAATCTTCCCAGATCAGCATTTTAATTTGGTGCACAGCAGTGAAAGAAAAGATCAACAGAGTGAACAGAAAACATGCAGAATGGAATGGGAAAAATATTTTAAAACTATACATCCAATAGAGGACTGATACCCAGAATTTACAAGGAGCTGAACAACAAGAACAAAATAACTTCATTAAAAAGTGGGCTAAAGACATGAACAGATATTTTCCAAAGAAGACAAATTTCCAACAAGCATATGAGAAAACATTCACCTTCCCTAATCATTAGGGAATGAAAATTAAAACTATAATTTCATCTTGCACCAGCCATAATGGCTGTTATTAAAAAGACAAAAAATAACAGATGTTGGAAAGGATGTGGAGAAAAGTAAACTCATATATGATGTTGCTAGGAATGTAAATTAGTGCAGCATTTATGGAAAACAGTGTGGAGATTTATCAAAGAACTAAAAGTAGAACTACCATTCAATTATGCAGTCCTACTTCCTGATACCTACCAAAAGAAAAAGAAATCAATATATAAAAAAGACCCTTGTACTGTATGGTTATTGCAGCACTATTTACAATAGCAAAGATACGGAATCAACCTAAGTGTGTGTCAGTGGAGGAGTGACTAAAGAAAATGTGGTGTATTCATACCATGAATTATTGTTCAATTATAAAAAGGAATGAAATCTTTTCTTTTGTGGGAGCATGGATAGAGTTGGAGGTGTCATTATCTTAAGTGAAACAAATCAGACACAGGAAGACAAATACCGCATGCTCTTACTTAGAAATGGCAGCTAATAATGTGTACACATGGTAACAGTGTGGAAGGATGGAGACGCAGAGGGGTTGGAGGGGTAGGAGTAGGTGGAAGATGAGGGGTTGCCATGTGCATTGCTCCAGTGATGGATGCCCTGACTATGCTACAATGCAATATATCAATATAGATAAATAAATAATTCATTAAATAAAAAGACTTCATAAGGTGACAAAAGAGAGGAAGGAAGAAAGAGGCAAAGGAGTGATTATAATCACAACACAAGAGGAGAGCTGGATGAGGAGGGAAAGGAGGACCGAGATCAGAGGTGAGAGGGACAGGATGGTAGGACTAGCAAGTGCAGTTGTCTGGGAGCCTGAAGAACTGTGAGAATGAACCAATCCTTGGCATTAGCATTGCTTCAGGGCTGTGGACCTGGTGCTTTGGGTTCATTTGTGGGGGGTGGTACTGGTGGTGATTCTCTTCTCACAGCTGAGGCAGGATTCAAACAGGTAAATAACTAAATCAAAAACCACACAGCAAGTCAGTGGGAAGGCATAGACTCACCCCCAGCCCTTTTTCATAGGCAGTCTTTACCACTGGTGTGGTGTCTGCTTCCAGGTGGCTCAGTCGTGTGATGAGGTGGACGGTGGAAGGTAGCCCAAGGCAGTGTGCAGTCAGGTGTTAAATTCTGTGATGTGGAAGGGTATGAGAAGTTTGTCCATTCAGGAATACACACCGAGCACTGAGCATATGCAAGACCCTATTGTAAGTACTGGGAATATAGCAGTGAACAAGCTAGACAGAAAGTTACGTGCTTCAGAGAAGTGACGGGGGTCTGTTCCTCTGTGATTCTTCTAAGGCACCATGTTGGGAATCTTGTGTTTCTGCCACTTAAGGGGTGTGACATTGTTGTTTCAACTTCCCATTTATATACTCAGATATTGTGGTCTTTTGAGTTCTACCTTGTTTGAAGTACTAGCGGAGAGTTCTGTGTTTTAGCCTGATGAATTGGTTATTCTGAGAGTGTTCAGCTGATCTCTACCGTGTAGTAATACCACATCTTATTTTGTAGTGATGAGATCCTTTTGCCACAGTGAAATGCTGTACTGTAGAGCTCATCCCCTGTTTTTGAAACTATGGGGAGCCCTGGGCCATTTGCAGGTCCAAGTGTTACCGAAAATTTAGTACTTGTCAGCGTCAAATGAGGGCAAGTAGTTTGAGGGAAAGGAAAGAGAAGTTTATTAATTTGTTGGCAAATGAGAAGGGCAGCAGAGTAGCATCTGAAAGGACTGGCCATCCTGCCCCCTTTAAGAGAAATAGAGGCTTTTTAAAAGGGGGTTTTCAGCATTGGGCTATTTCTTTTTTTCTTATCTCCTGATAAAAATGTCTGGATAATTCTGTTGAGCCATCTCTTGTGGTCTAAGGTACTAGAAAACAAAGAATAAAGAACATTTCTTTGCCTCTTTGATTACTGGCCTGGGCAGGAATACAGGTTTTAATTCCAAAAAAGGGTGAGCCCTTTTCCCAATCTTTACCTCTGTTACACAAGTTCCCATCCTTAACTGAGGACCTGTTAAGAGCTTTGTAATAACTAATGAATTGTCCCCTCTTCTTACTCCTTCCTGGTGGGATTTAGGCCTGGAAGGAATGCTGGTTTGTCCTGTGGGAGGGCAAGACAATCGGTGGCCTGGATGTTCTGCAATACCATCAGAATGATCATGATTCAAAGCCCCTGGGGAGTATCAACCTGCAATCCTGTGAGCAGGTGGACGTAGACGTGACCCGGAAGGAGCTGCACGGGAATTACATGTTCGACATCAAGACCAGTGAGCGCACCTTCTACCTAATGGCTGAGACATGGGAGGAAAGGAACAAGTGGGTGCAGAATATCGCCCAGATCTGTGGCTTCACGGAGATTGAGAAGACCACAGGTACGAGAACAAACATGAGTCTTAAAAGGGTGAGATGAGGCCCTTTGAGCCTTGGCAAGCTGTGCTTTTCTGGGTAGCAGAGAAGTGATGGGCAGAAGGTAAGAGTGTGAAGGGATTGGCGAGAATGTTAGAAGGACCCTTGACCCTAGTTATGCTCATGTGAGGAACCAGGAAATGCGGACTCGTAATGAAGGTGGAGGTGTTTTGTGGTGTTTCTTCTGGTATCTGGCACCACTGCGGTTCCTCAGCCTCTGCCTCTCACCTCCCCATGCTTTCCTGCACTCTCAGCCCTACCCTATGGGCTGTCCCCAGGGCCCCTCTCAACCTTGGCTCTCCTCCTGCTTGTCCCTGCTATCCTGGCCCCTCTGTTTCAGACCCCCTTTCACAGTTACACTGGACCCCGTGCTTGTGGCTTTGCTTGCTTGGGGTCCTCTGTTATTGTTACTGCTGTAGGATCCAGGATTCCTTCATATTCTCTTGGGAAGAACAAATGTCGATTTACATTTGAGTTTTGAGAAACTTCACAAAAGAGTAGTTCAACTTTTTGAAGTGAGCTTCAAATCACAAAAATGCTCCTTGGCATTTATTTGGGATCATCTTTAACTGTCCAGTTTGCTAAGGAGCAGGATTTTTTCTGAGGCAATTGTGTAGTTTCAGTCAGTAGTTCTTTTTTTTTTTTTTTTTGAGGCAGGAGCCTCAAGCTGTCCCCCTGGGTAGAGTGCCATGGCATCTCAGCTCACAGCAACCTCCCACTCCCGGCTCAAGCGAGTCTCCTGCCTCAGCCTCCCAAGCAGCTGGGACCACAGGCGCCCGCCACAACGCCCGGCTATTTTTTTTTTTTTTGGTTGCAGCCGTCATTGTTGTTTGGCAGGCCCGGGCCAGATTCAAACCCGCCACCTTGGGTGTACGTGGCTGGTGCCTTAGCCACTTGAGCCATAGGCGCCGAGCCAGTCAGTAGTTCTTGGACCTGGTTGCACATCGGCGTTGAGGAGGAGCATTTAAACAGTCTGATGCCAGCTGGGCACCCTAGCTCAGCCCTGTGATCCTCTGGGAGGATCACCCCAGCACTCTGGGAGGCTAAGGCAGGTGGATTGCTCGAGCTCAGGAGTTCTAGACCAGTCTGAATAAGAACGAGACCCTGTCTCTACTAAAAATAGAAAAAACTAGACAGGTGTGGAGGGTGCCTGTAGTCCCAACTACTGCAGAGGCTGAGGCAAGAGGATCACTTGAGCCCAAGAATTTGAGGTTGCTGTGAGCTATGATGATTTTGTGGCACTCTACTGATGGCAACAGATTGAGGCTCTGTCTCAAAAAAAAAAAAAAAAAAGTATGATGCCTAGAACTCATGCCAAATCAGTTGACTAGGGACCTAGGCATTTGTGTCTTTAGTAGCTGTGTTCTTTCCCACTGTTTTGAGAGCTTAAAGATAAATGATAGATAGATAGACAGACAGATAGGAGCTTCATTATGAGTAACAGGATGTAAAAGCTGTTTTTGAAACCTTAGGACACAAATTTTATATTTATGTTCTTTGGTATAATCTTGCCTTCCTGTGGGAAATTTCCTGTTTTTCCCGAAACTTTGTCATGTATAGGTAAAAGTTACGGAGAGAAATCACACATTTAAAAGGCATTGTCTGAATCTTTACTTTTGCTTTTATATATAGGACTTAAGTACAGTGACAATGGAGAAACTACATTCTGTGGGCTTTCCTGGTTAAAACAGTGGTCTCCAATGTTTTTGGCACCAAGAACCGGTTTCATGGAAGACAGTTTTTCCAAAAACAGGGTGAAGGGGACGGTTTTGGGATGATTCAAGCTCATTACATTTATTGTGCACTTTATTTCTATTATTATTACATTTTAATATGTAATGAAATAATTATACAACTCATCACAATGCACAATTGATGAGAGCTCTTCTGAGCTTATTTTCTGCAACTAGGTAATCCCTCCTGGGGGTGATGGGAGACAATGACAGATGAAGCCTTGCTCACCACCTGCTGTGTGGCCCAGTTCACTTCCTGCTGGGAACTTCAGGGTGTAGAAAATTTGTCCATCCATTCATTCATTCATTCATTCAACAAACCTTTATGGAGCATCTATTTTGTTCCAGTTCCTGTTATAATTGATGGGGCCACAAAGACGAACTGTGTGGGTTCCCTTTTTCAAATAAAGAAACCATGGCTCAGTGCCTATAGCTCAGCAGCTAGTGTGCCAGCTGCATACATCGGAGGGTTTGAATCCAGCCTGGGCCTGCCAAACAACAATGACAACTACAGCAAAAAAAAAAAAAACAAAAAAACAAAAAAACAGCTGGGCATTGAGGTGGGCACCTGTAGTCCCAGCTACTTGGGAGGCTGAGGCAAGAGAATCGCTTAAGCTCAAGAGTTTGAGGTTGCTGTGAGCTGTGACGCTATGGGACTCTATCAAGGGTGACATAATGAAACTGTCTCAAAAAAAAAAAACAGTGAGTTTTCTTTCCTGCCCACAACTTTAATTCTATAGGACTAAAGATCTCTGCCCATGCCCTTCCCGCACCCCAGCTGAGTTTAGACAGGCTGCCCAACTCTCACCACCTCCCAAACTGGGGCATGTCCAGAGCATTCCAGTCCCCTGGGTCTTAGTGTCAGTAAGTTCACTAAGGGACCTGTATTAGGCCTGCAGTTTACAGGGCAGGACAACATCAGTAGAACAGTTTCTCTCAGAAGCTCGCTGGCTTTTTCTACTGATCCCTGGTAATGCTAGTCTGCGTGGTATCAGAGCAGCTGGAGAGCAATTGATGTTCTGGGGCATTAAGGAGCTGGTGCTTCTGCCTGGGGCCATAAGACTGGTACAGCCTTAAAGCAGTCAGATACCAGGAAGTAGAAGAGTAACTTTGCCCCTCTGATACAATCTCTATAACCCTAAAGAGCCACCATCACCACCATCAAAACTTCATCCCACCAGCCATTACGTCTTTAAATATTTTATTTTGAATAGAGTCTTTTACTGTAGAAATTTCTGTTTCTTGAATGTATGTTTATATATGATTCTGTAAGCACAGACTAAAAACCTACTATGTATCTGGGCTTTATTAGGTAAATGGTTGGACTGTGGAGGTAATAGTCAGTCACTGTGCTCAGAAACTTGTGGGCTGGGCAAGGAGGCAGAGCGCCTGAGAATACAGTGGAGGCATGGCCCAATGCTGCAGACAGACAAAAGGACCCAGTCCAGGAAGCTCAGAGAGAACATGAAGTCCATGCAGGGTCTTAATGTCCCATATGAGTTTGCCAGCAGACCAACAGAGTAGACATGGAACCCAGGTGGAAAGAGCACCATAAGCCAAAACAGATTATCATGAGAGAGGCTGGTGTGTCTAGGGACTTCTGATGCTCTCGTACACCTTGCTTACGGGGGCAAAGAAGTAGAAGTAGGTCAGATTGTGACAGGCCTCATATGTTCTGCTGAGCAGTGGGGCAACTCCTAGCGGTCAAGGCCATGAACACAGCTCTGGGGTTGGTGTGCAGTCCTCCAGGCCATTATGTCCTTAATACTTCCTTTCTAAGACAAACTGAGGACAGTCTGGGTTACTATAGAGAAAGACTGATGGAGAGTGGAGGTGTAGAAGGGCAGGTGGGAGGAGCTGGGTCCAGCCTTGAGGGACAATTTCAAATATAGTAGAACCCCCATAGTTGACCAACTCCCTGCCCTGACCACCTCCTTAAGTTGACCTAATTCTCATAAACTGGACATGCACATGTATGTATCAGTATAGTAGGCCTAGTTCCTTATGTTGACTACCTGCAGGGAGGTGATAGCAGCAGGAGCCACCAGAGAGGAGGGAGGCAGGTAACTCACTGCTCCAGAAGCTGGACTTGCCTGGGGCCAGGAGTTCTGCTTGATGAGTGAGAGAGAATTGTAATAGTTTGCCAAAGTTGGTCTCAAAAATTTACAGAACTTGTGTCTGTTTTATACTTAATGATGGCATTATTGATATATAGTTTGAAAATATGTAATAACAGTCACAAGAAGAAGAGGAAGACTGCAGGAAAAGTGAAATCTGTTAAGTCACACTTGTTTTTAAATGAGTGAGCCATTTTTTAAAGTTAGGTTTAAGGCAATATAGTTCCAAGTGTAGATCTGTGACTAGTTGAATCAGAATAATCAAGGGTGCTTATTAAAAATGCAAACTCTTCTTGGCCCTTTTGTGAATCTATGAAATATAATCCTGCACCATGACCTAGGGACCTGCATTTTAAACACATTTCTCAAGTGATTTTTATTCAACCAGAGTTTACAAACCATGAGTTAAGATTTCTATCATTAGATATTACAAGGAGAAGAGGAAAATAATTCTTGATTTTAACTGGAAACTATAGACATGACTTTTTAATGTGAATCACTTACTCCTTGAATATAGTTTAGAAGTCTAGAAGACCTAGTTTTTGCTCCTCACTCAAATTTAATATGTGAACATAGGACTCTCAAACATTTAAATTTCCTAGGCTCTGTTTTTTGTGTCTGAAAAATCAGATGGTTGGAATATTACTACTCTATGAAATATAAACAGTTCTTTCTTTTCTTCCCTTCAGTCCGCTTCCGGACAAAAAGATGGTTTGATTCTGCATGGGTTGATCCTGTCTATATGAAGAATGTCTCCTTTGAACATGTAAAGGGAGTAAGTTAAGATTTGCTTGCCTTCTTACACTAACTCATAGTCCGTTAAAAAGGTCAATATTTGATTCTGAAGGTTACCCTGAAATTGGTAAAATTGTATCAAAAATTATTTGAAACTTCAGTATGTGGGAGTAAATGATAATAGCAGGGGATCAAATATTGTTTCATGACAATTAGTATTGATTTGTGAAGGAGCACCATGATGTAGTGGAATGATGAAGATTTCAAATTCATTTTTATACTTACTGGTTATGTGGCACTGAACAAATTACTTCATATTCTATAGATAAGGTATGTGCTTGGCACACAGAAGACAGTTAATAAACAGGGCTGAGACACAGTGGCTCACGCCTGTAATTCTCTTTGGGAAGCCAAGGCAGGAGAATATATAGGCATACTTGTTTATACAGCCTTAAAGATGTTAACAAGGGTTTTTAGGGCCTGGCTCTGCCTGTAATCCTAGCAACTGGGAGGCCTAGGCAACAGGATCGCTTGAGCCCAGAAGTTTGAGGTTGCTGTGAGATATGGTGCCATGACACTCTTCCCAGGGCAACAGAGTGAGACTCTGTCTCAAACAAAAACAAAAACATACACAAAATAACCCAAAAAAGGACTCTTTATAATTTCATTACTTGACCCCCTTAATCCTATTTTTCTTACACATCTTTTATTCCTTAAGTGGGGATTCTCTTGCCACAGAATTTGGGGAGAGAATATAGTTTTTTTGAGTAGTAAATGATTAATATCTTTCTTTCATGTCTACAATTATATGGCATTATATTTATTATTTTGATGAAATATATTTTAGTCTTACTGTATATATACTTTGAATACTTTTAAAAAAACATGCTCTTTTAATAAACCAGCCAAATCTTTCCTTAATCCTAAATTATATTGAAGTTTAACATATTCACATAAAAGTGCATAAATCATAAACACATCTATGCTATTAGTACACACCTCAAGAGACAGAACATTACCAGAACCCCAGTACCTCCCCAGTGCTATCTCCTTCCATCCCAAAGATAACCATCCTGTTTAATATGTACTTTTGTTTTAACTGTTTTTGAATTTTATGTAAATGTAACATTCTTTTGGGTCTGGCTTTCTTTATCCAAGATGATGCTTGTGACACCTATCTAAGTTATTTGGAGTTGTGGTTTCTTTATCATTATTGCTAGGTACTACATTATACAATTATCACAATACTGTGTATTTATTCTACCATAGGTAGACATTTGGGTTGTTTCTGGTTTTAGACTCCTATCATGTTGATGTGAATTGTTTTTTTTTTTGGCTTTTTTTTTTTTTTTTGAGACAGAATCTCACTTTGTTGCCCTGGGTAGAATGCGTCACAGGTCACAGCAACCTCAAACTCTTGGGCTCAAGGTATTCTCTTGCCTCAGCCTCCCAAATAACAGGGCCTACAGGCGCCTGCCGCAACACCTGGCTATTTTTAGAGGAAGGATCTCACTCGGGCTCAGGCCGGTCTCCAACCAGTGAGCTCAGGCAATCCACCCGTCTCCACCTCCTAGAGTGCTGGGATTACGTGAATTCTTGTACATGGTGTGTTGGTGAACATATATACGTATTTCTTCTGGACCTAGGAGTGGACAAAGCTTTGATTTTAACCATTAATTGATAAAAATGTTAGTACATTTTCAGTGATTTAGTTAGAATAACTTGCAAAGACCATGCCAAGCCTCACCAAAAAAACTTTGCTCTTTAATACTTTTGATATTTCCAAGAAATAGTTCTGGAAAATTTCTAGAAATATAAGGTAATCACAACTTTAATTTTAGATTTTCAGAATGCCCTTTGGCCTGAAGATAAGTTTCATGTTTTAATATGTTCCTTTCCAGGTAGTTTCCTTTTAACCCTTTCCAATACACTTGACATCTTTTTTTCTCAGTTTGGGATGATTTTTGTTGGGATAGTAAGGAGACTGCATTATTGAAAATAAAAACCCTATGTATGTGTATGAGGGGGCTTTTTTTTTTTGGAGACAGTTTCACTGTGTTGCCTCTGCTGTGGCGTCACAGCTCTCCATAACTTCAAACTCTTGGGCTTAAGGGATTCTCTTGCCTCAACCTCCCAAGTAGCTGGGACTACAGGCACCTGCCACAATGCCCGGCTATATTTATGTTGTAGTTGTCATTGTTGTTTGACAGCCCCCAGGCCAGGTTCAAACCCGCCAGCCTGTGTATATGTGGCTGGCACCCTAGCTGCTAAGCTACAGGCGCTGAGCCTATGGGGACATTTTTATATACTTCTTTCACTGAAACAAAGAAAGCCAGGTTAATTCTATATCAAAATTAAATTTATGATTTCCAAAGAAGACACTACAGTAATCTAACCAATTCTAACTATCCTTTTTTATTATTTGGTAAATTGCATCACATAGGTGGATGAAGCTAAACAAAAATTACAAGAAGTTGTTGAATTCTTGAAAAATCCACTAAAGTTTACTGTGCTTGGATGCAAACTTCCAAAAGGTAAATTATCTTCCTTTTACCATGATTTCACGTCAAAACATGCTGTAATAAATTAATAATGTAATGTTATCAGATTTTAACCGATTAAAGTTTAGTTCTCAATTGCTTTTTTACAAAATAGATGCTCATTCTGCACGTACAGTTCTACGACCTTTTTTGTAACTTACAACTTTTTTGTAATTTTAAGCTTTAAGTTACAAGAATAGTACAAAGAATGCTTTTTATTTCCTTAACTCAGTTTCACCAATTTTTAATATTTTGCTGCATTTTTGTCACTCATTGTATCTCTTTACATACTTATATATATGTGTGTGTGTGCGCTTTTTTTTTTTTTTTTTTTTTTTGAGACAGAGTTTCCAACTGTCGCCCTGCGTAGAGTGTGGTGGCGTCACACAGCAACCTCAAACTCTTGAGCTTAAGCGGTTATCTTGCCTCAGCCTCCCAAGTAGCCGGGACTACAAGTGCCAGCCACAACGCCCAGCTGTTTTTTCTGTTGCAGTTGTCGTTGTTTTAGCTGGCCCAGGCTGGGTTCGAACCCGCCAGCCTCAGTGTATGTGGCTGGTATCCTGCAGAATGAATGAGCTACAGGCGCCGCCCATACATACTTATATTTTTTAACCATGTGAGATAAACTGTAGATACAATTACCCCTGAATGTGTATTTTCTTTTTTTTTATGAGAATTTTTAATGATTCTTACAATTTTATTTATTTATTTATTGCTATTTTTGGCCAGGGCCAGGTTTGAACCTGCCGCCTTCAGTATATGGGACTGGTGCCCTACTCTTTGAGCTGCAGGTGCCACCCTGAATGTGTATTTTCTAAGGCAATGATATTCTTTTACATAAATGCAGAGTAATTATTAAAGTCAGAAAGTTCAACATATGTATAAAATCATTATTAAATGCCCAGCCATATTTAAATTTCAGCATTTGTTCCAACCTGGAATGTTTTGAAGCATCTCCCTCACTGCCACTGCCTGCCCTGGTTCAGGACCCAGTCCAGAATCACACATCGCTTGTAGTTTTTTCTTAGATATGAAACAGCTCCTCAGCCTTTTTATGGAGGGTGAAGAGAGGAGGGTATAGGCTATCTATAACATATTCCTCAGTGTAGTTTTGTCTGATGTTTTCTCACAGTTACTAACATGATTTTTTCCTTTTTTTTTTTTTTTTTGAGACAGAGTCTCACTGTGTTGCCCTCAGTAGAGTAATGTGGCATCACAGCTCACAGCATCCTCCAACTCTTGGGCTTAAGCGATTCTCTTGCCTCAGCTTAACAGCGCCTATCACAATGCCTGGCTATTTTTTTGTTGTGGTTGGTTAGCTGGCCCGGGCTGGGTTCGAACCCACTAGCTTCGGTGTGTGTAGCTGGTGTTGTAACCACTGTACTTTTTTTTTTTTT